CTCTCTATTTTTCCTTGCTATATAGGCTATTGCCAATCCCCTTAAATACGCCTTCGCTGTATCCCAAATAATTTGTACCGATGTTTGTTCTTTTGTGTTTTCTTTAAAGAAATACTCCATTTCCCTTTTAGTCTGTACAATAAATTCTTTTTCCTTCAAAATATACGAATTCATTACCCATCTTTTTCTTACTTTTTTAACCAACAAATTTTCCCAATTATACAGTCCTTTTTTTGTCTCTTCTCAAACCTCATCCACTCTCCTGATACTCCCAGCGTTGTCTTCCATTGTCTCCTTCCCTTCCGTTCACGCTCGTCTTACTTAAAGCACCGTCCCTGTCAAGCTATAAATCTTTCTCAGCGTCAGCCCGTCTTTTTCAGCTTCCTCTCCTGTCGTTTCACTCCGCTCCTTCACTCTCGTCTCCTTCCTTGTATCTTTTGAATGGATCTCTCAAGCTCCAGGTTTTCTTTCCAACCTCAGTCCTTTCTTTTCACTTTCCTTTGATGTCGTATCCTCCCGGTCTCTCTTTCCACCTTCAGATTTTAACAGCAAGACACGCTTTTTCGTGGCTGGGAGCACTTTACTTGAGTTTCCCGATCTTTGCAGCCCTCAGGTTTGTCTCTAGTTTTTCTCCAACCACTTTTAATCGCTGCTGCGTTCTTCTAGATCACCATTTTCTTTCAACTCTTTCAACTCACAGTCTTTTCTATCCAGGTCTCTCAATCCACCGCTCTACCGGCTTCAACTTTATCACGATCTCTCCGCTCCCAGTTTCTTCCTCAAACCTCTCCGTCTTCTGCGCTCACAGATTTAATACACTGTCTTTCTTTGTGTCTACCTTCTGTTATTTAATCTCTCGGTTCTTTAGATCTGTTAACTCACAGCTCCCCCGCCGGGTCGCCGCTTGCGTTGAGGGTTCCCTCTCCGATTGAGCTTCCTCTCAGCGCCCGCCCTAATAGACACTTAAATCTTATTAGACTCTTCTCATATTCTTTAGCATTAGGAATAATATAGGCTATTACAGCTTACTACTTGGCACTGTCTGTTAGAATTCTTGCTTCCGCATCATCTGTGGCTTTATCAGGGCCTCAGATCCGCCATCAGCTGCTGGCAGAAGATTCCACGTTGAAATTAGGAGGTTTCCTTCGTCCTAACGGGCGATTGCCTTTCGCCTCGTTATTCCTCCGGCATCCCCCTTTCTCACGCGTTGTCCTACAGACTTCCCCACGCCCCCAAAGGGTCTCCAAACGTGGAAAGATCAGAGTTAGGTGACAGAGCCTGTCTCCTTAACTCTGCATTGCCCTGGTGCCACCACCGGACTTTTGCAGCTCTTTTAGAGGTTCCCTCCGTGGATGCCCCGCTGGCTTCTCTGTTTTCCAACACCGCCATTCCAAGAGACATGGCCGAGTATTTAAAGGCAGAGGATAAAAAGTTTGAATTCTTGGGCCGCAGGGCTCATCAATCTTCGGCCTGGGCAATACGGGCCGCCACCTCATCCTCTTTCTTTGCCCGTGCTGCGATCATGTGGCTGAAGGACCTTCAGACACTTATTCCACCTGACCAGGTCAGAGCCCACCAGAATCTGGGTAAGATAATAGCTGCGTCAGAATACGTTGCTGATGCTTCATTGCATTCGGCTAAATGTTCGGCCCGCTCCATTGCTGCCACGTTGGCGTCACGCAGACTTCTCTGGCTGAAGCAATGGCGCATGGACCTAAAAGCGAAGTGGCGCCTTTCTACGTCCAGGTACAGTGGTAAGAACTTGTTTGGTGCTGTCCTTGACCCTCATGTGTCTGAGGGCAAGGACAAGCATAAGATCTCTGTCCATCCTTCAAAAAAGTTTGATAGGAGGCCTCAACCCGGTTATCGCAGGTCATCCTTTCGTTCGGGTGACTCTTGGGAGTGGAGACAGCCCTTTCGGGCAGGGCAGTCCTGGGATTGGCCCAGAGGCTCACGGTCCTACCTTCCTAGGCAAGACCGCCAACAGGACCGCCAGAGTGGAGGAGCCAGGGGCCAGTCCCAGACCAAGCGTCCCTTCAGGGGCTCAGGAGGTCGACCTTTTAGGCGGTCCAAGTGACGCCAAAGGGGATCATCCCATCGGGGGTCGGCTGGCCCTGTTTTGCGACGTCTGGGAGGGCACCACCACAGACGCCTGGGTCAGGGAGACCATAAGGCATGGTCTCTCCCTGGAATTTCAGTCTTTCCCCCCAGATCGTTTCATACAGTGTCCGGTATCAAGAAATCAGTCAAAGGCCTCCCTAGTAACAACAGCGATCGCCCACCTGTTGGACA